GGTCTGTGAGGTGAGTGCGGCCAGCGCAGCGGGGGGCGGTGATGTGGCGGCGGCGGTGGTGATGCAGTTGACCAGACGCTGGCTGTATTTGGAAGTAGCGCCTGTGGGGTTGCTCACAGAGTCCATGTGGGGCGGCGTGGGCAGGAATGAGCACGCTGAGGCCTGAGCCAGTGGGAGGAGAGAGCTGCAGGATCTGGGGAGACTGGGATGGAGGGGGTTCCACCTGGGACACAGGAAGTTGGAGAAGCCTACAAGGCTGAGCAGGCAACCAGAGAGATGCTAATTTCAGAAGCGAATCAGTATGACTCAAAGGTTGCCTCTGTCACTGAAGAGGGTCTCTTGAGCTGCCAGCACACGAAGCAGAGTCCCAGCGACGCTCAGGGACGTGGCCTTCAGGGAGTTTTGTAGACTCCAGGTCCCCTGGTGGGCCCCAGAGGAGTCTCCACGTTGGGCAGAAGGCCCTGAAGGGAGGGGGAGATGGATGCAGCCCTAGCTCACATCTCCCTGTGACCCTGCTGGGAGGAAGGCCTGGCCTCAGAGCCTGTGTCTCTGCTCAATCCGGTTTGGGGCTGATTTCTGGCCCCAGAAAGCATTTGTCTGTAGGCAGCCTAGGGTTCTGAGATGCCGGATCCTTATGGAAATGAGCAGAGAGAGAAGGAACAACAGGCATTTTCCAGGAAAAGCTGTCACCAAGGGAGCAGCAACGTAGCTGCTAGTCGTGCCCCCCCCCGCACCCCCCAAATGATTTAATCACCAAGAAGCTGGAGAACAAAAAGTGCAAGCCTTGACTACAATGTATTATCATACCAGAAAATGAGACTGTGGTGACGAGAAAAAAATAAAAAAGCAAAAAAGCCAGCCTCCAAAGGAAAAACAAAGATGTCGATTGTGTGCCGGCCTGGTTTTCTCTCTCAGGTTGCTTTTATGATCCCCGCACATCTGATGTGACAGGGCGGCTGCTCCCCAGCTCAGCTTCACGCGATGGAGGGGCTCAGTCCGCCCTTGCACCGGCGGCAAGAAAATTCAAGACACGCCTGTTTCTTGGCATGTACCTTGCAAGCCTAAGAGGAGATGCGTGCGTTAGAGCCACATAGGAAAGGCTGTTCTCATGCCTTTAATTGCATATTGCTAACAGAGAGGAGATGAAGCAGAGGAGAAACACATAAAATGATGAATGATTAAACACCATCTGTGAGCAGCTCCAACCTACCTGCGAATCAAGAATAAGACACGGGAGAGACACAGCAGGCTGCGGTAACGGCCCTCTGTGCAGGAGCGAGAAGGAAATTGCTCTCGGTGGGGAAGTGTTACTATTTTAGGTGACGGGTGTATTCATGGGTAAATCTCTTATGTGTACATGCTTCAACACAGATGAACCTCAAAGACACATGCAAATGAAAGGCAAAAGCCCATATGCTGTGTGATTCCACTTCAACGAAATGTCCAGAATTGGCAAATCGACGGGGACAGAGAGTGGATCTGGGGTTGCTAGGGGCTGGGAAGGGATGGGGGTGATAAAAATGCTCGCATCCGCCACAGATCTTAGTATGTCACAAACTATTGGCGAGTACACGGAAAATGGCTGAACTTAACCAGATATAAATGACATGGCAAGAAAGCTGCTTTTGAAAAACACTCTGCAATCCCTGGTGGTTGGCCCAGCTACAGAGGCGCGCAGCCACGAGTGAGGTGAGGCCGGATGGCCCGTCTTCATTTTCTGGTAACAAACCCAGCCAAGCCACGGGCTCCTGTACTTGAATGAGGTGGACATTTGAAAACTCGTCACTGGACACAATCTAAGATGTCAGATGACTAGAAGCCAGGCTGAGCTGGAAGACGCAGCTGGGCCTTGCTGTGAGGGTGCGCGTGGTCCCAAGCGAACTCTGATCCCCGATACGTGGCAGTCTATCCATTCACCTCATTTCACTGTGAGGAGGACCCCCTGCTCCAGGAGGACAGGAACAGCGGAGTCTAGACACAGCGTGTGCTGTCGGGTTCCCACGCGGACGCTGGAGTATGGCTTTGAGTGTGCATTGCATCTGCATTGTACGCTAACCGCACTGATCGTGTCCTGGATTTGCTCTCTGTCCCCTGGAGCGTCCCTCTGGTCCAGGGTGGAACACACAGCTGCACTGGTTTCCTTCAAACTGTGGCAAGAGTGGAGGACCTTGGCTGGGGCGGTGGTAGGGAGGGGGGTAAGAAAACCCAACAAGCTCCTACACCTGCCCTCTGGCCACTGTCCGTTCTACCAGGACAGATGCTGTGCTCTGCTTTTCCTGGACTTTCCAGAACTCCCCAGCTCTGCAGAGATTGGGAAAACTAGCGAACAGGAAAGAGAGCTGTCCTACAGCGTGGCTTTTAGTGCCGCCATCCACAGAATGGGTAGGTCTGCTTTAAAAACGCATTCATAAACTTTCACAGGACTTCTTTCCATTTAGGGGGCTCGGAGCCGGGTTCTTAAACTCAGCGCCGGGAAGGTAGCAAGGATCTGCTATGCGTGTCAGGTTCTTACACACCGTTTGCCCCCTAGCAGATGCTCAGAGGCGGGTCCCAGGAATCTCAATGCCAGTCACAAAGGGAAAGCTGAGGGTGAGCCTTGTGGATGTCTGAGACCCAGGAATATTTGGATCTGGGCCTTGAAAAACTCTGCTTAGGTTTTCTAGCCGAAGAAAGCACAAGAAGTAAAGGCAAAGCAACGATATTCCAAAAGGACCTTCAAGCATTTACGAGTTACTGGGAAGCACGGCTGACTTTTAATAGCAAGGGGGAAAGCCAGACAATGGGTCTAAATGATCCTTACTTAGAAGTATAGCTTAGGGTGGGTGCCGCAGCTCACTAGGCTAATCCTCCACCTAGCGGCACCGGCACACCGGGTTCTAGTCCCGGTCAGGGCGCTGGATTCTGTCCCGGTTGCCCCTCTTCCAGGCCAGCTCTCTGCTGTGGCCAGGGAGTGCAGTGGAGGATGGCCCAAGTGCTTGGGCCCTGCACCCCATGGGAGACCAGGAGAAGCACCTGGCTCCTGTCATCGGATCAGCACCGTGCGCCAACTGCAGCGGCCATTGGAGGGTGAACCAACAGCAAAGGAAGATCTTTCTCACTGTCTCACTCTCTCACTATCCACTCTGCCTGTCAAAAAAAAAGTATAGCTTGGGGCATTGCATTTCACAAATGTTCGCAAATACTAAGAGTAAGAGTCATTCATGAAAATGGGAACACAGGGGGAGCGACAACCACACGAAAGCATGGATTCTGACGTGGAACGCCTATCTCCCTAGCAGCTCCTTCAGAGGGGCAGAGGTCGCCTCCCTGCCCACCTGAATTATTGCCTGTAATACGCACCAACCCGTGAGGACCTCAACAACCTTCAGCAGGTTTATAAAATCCCAATGAACCCGAAAAGGCATTCTGACTTGATGAGTGCTTAAGAGTTGAGAGACGCGTGGTAGAGGAGTATTACAAAGGTTGAGAGAGAATTGAAAAAGCTGAATTAGATGACATTTTAGAAATTTGCCTTGAATTTTTCTTTAGTGGTACACATCCCTCCTGCCAGGGCCATATTCAGCAAGTTTGAATTGATTGAGTGTATTGAGTCTTGGGATCACCCGAGTCTCGGTTGGACTATGATTTTTCTTAGATTCCAGTAGTCCTTGGTGTATTCCACTAATCTGTATTTAAGCCAGGGTGACCTTCTGCACTGATGTGTCCGGGACAGACCTGGTTGACACCTGTTGTCTAGCAGGGTTATTAATAGCACCCTCCACCTTCAATAGTGTCCTAGTTTTGAAGATCAAATTGTGCCATCATTCTAACCTTGACTCTTAAAAGTTTTTGAGAACACCCCACGTCACTCAGTAATTGTTGCAATTTATAACTATTTTATATGGTTTCTGAGCCCCTGGTTCCTATCTGTTGAGTTTCGGCATCCTTTGAATGGGAAAGCCGGTGGCAAGACAAAGACGACCCCATCCACACAAACAACTGTTGTTCCATAAGGAACACATGTTGGTGAACATGTGTTGCTAATTGCTATTTTAATTATTCAGCTTGTCCTTCTACTTATAAACAACATCATGAATTAAACCCTATGATTCAGGGTGTAATAAACGCCAGTGGTTGAGTAGCACATACCTTCATAGCCAAAGAGAAGTAAGAACAAGAAGCCTTCCATCTTGCGTAGCATTTTCCTCTCTTCCTTGGCCGCGGCTCTACCTCGATGCAGTGGGAGCTGGCCCAGGAGCAGGGGATTAACTTGAGCACCGGCCTCATTAAGCATCTTATTCCGTTTAGTTCTTAGGTCTTCCTGCTGAGCCCCATCAAGTTAACCCACACAGTTACCTGCCTGGGCAGGTAAGAAAACTCACTGCAGTTGGTCTAGCAAGGAAGATACAGGTTTCATTCTGGCTTTTAATGTGAAGGAAGCACTGGAGGGAAATAGAAACAAGAACCAGAAGGCTCAGGTCTTAATCTTGTCCATTCACCTTCCAGGGGATGACCTTGAGTAACTGCCTGCCAAATAAGCACTAACATTCTTGAATTGTATGAAAATAGCAGAATGGGGTCGACGCTGTGGCATAGCAGGTAAAAGCCCTTGCCTGTGACGCCGGCATCTCACATGGACGCCAGTTTGAGTCCCAGATGCTCCAGTTCTCTTCTATGGCCTGGGAAAGCAGTGGGAAGATGGCCCAAGTGCTTGGGGCCCTGCCTCCCACCAGGAAGACCTGGAAGAAGCTCCTGGCTCCTGGATTCGGCTTTGGCCGGGACTAGTCCTGGCCTTTTGGGGAGTGAACCAGTGGATGGAAGATCTCTCTGTCTTGCCTTCTCTCTCCATGACTCTGCTTATTCAAATAAATGCATCTTAAAAAAATTTTTAAAAAAAGTAAATAAAGAGAGGCTGTGCAGCCTAGTAGGGCTAAGAACAGATCGCCAAGCAAATCTCGTGTGGCCACCTGCTCCTTGGGACCTCTAGGCGAGGTAGTTAACGTCTCTGTGCCTCAGTTTTCTCACCTGGAAGATGCTGGTAAGAATGCCTACTTCACAGGGCTGTTTTGAGGCTTAAATGGGATGTAATATGCAAAACACTCATAACATGCTTGACGTAATTATTATAGTCATTAAGAATAACATTGATGGGAGGTTGTTTGTTTGTTTGTTTTTTAAGATTTGTTTATTTATTTGAAAGGCAGAGTTACAAAGAGAGAGAGATCGTCCATCCACTGATTCACTCCCCAAATGGCCACCAGGGCTGCAGCTGGGGCGGCCGGAAGCCAGGAGCCAGGAGCAGGTGCAGGGGTCAATAGGTACAGAGTTTCAGCTTTGCAAGGAGGATGGGCTCTGGAGGTCTGCTGCACAACACTGAACAGCCTGACCACCGCTGAGCTGCACACTGACAAGGGACAGAAAGAACAAAGTCGGTGAAGCGACTGTAACAACAGGCGAAGTCATGTGTTATACCCAAGTTAGAAGAAGCTGCAAATTTACATACCGAATGAAGAAAAGTGTGAGGAAAAATGCAAAGAAAAAGACTGAGCTCCTCCTTCTTCGCCTAATTCTCCACCACGTCAGTCAGACAATCCCAGGGCCCTTCCTGTTCTCAAAGATGAAAAAGGCCAATATTAAAAAAAATAATAGCAATAAGCCACACCCCCAAATGAAACTACAATGAAATAATCAAGAGGAGCAAAAAGGAACTAGAGAAACGTCTGGTGGTTCAATCAGCATTTTGGGGATGCCTGCAAGCCTGCTGTTTGGTCTATGGGTTCTTTATGAGCCAGACAAGCATGTATTGTGCTAACCCTACTGCTGTATTAAAGAAAAGCCAGTTCCCTAACCTGAGCCACTTAAATTATCGCAGTGTTTTGGTATTACAAGTACTACAGCAATGCGCATCTTTGTGTCTTCACTGTCCCACTCACCACCAAATTCAGCATTTTCCTGAGTGAATATGTAAGGTAATGAAAAGGAGTACTTTTTTTTTCCCTACTCTGTATTTTAGTTTAATGACAAATTAAACTTGCCATCATGATCCTAATAAACCTTTAATAATTGGACACAGCCCAAGCGCTGCTGCGTCGCCACGTTTGGGTTGGCCGCTTTGTTGAGCACACCCACCCCCCACCCCCGGCCGAAAGCGCCCAACCTTCAGCGGCAGGAGAGGCGGGAGAGTGGCCGGGCCGGCCCGGGGTGGGGGGTGGGGGGGGCGCCTCGGGACTACGACTCAACCCTGACCACGGCCTCGCCAATTTCTCAGGTGGGGCAATGGCGGCCCCAACCTTGAAGGATCGGTGTGTGGGGTGGTATCTGTCATTTCTCTTCTGTGCTAAAAACGTCAAAATTTTTAAAGTGGAAAGCAGGGAGACCTGCAGTTCTTTTTTCTCACTCCATGTTCAAGGGGTGAACATGGAATAAAATAAACCTAACTCAGCCTTGGTTCCACTGGGGCTCGAACCCAGGACCTTCTGCGTGTAAAGCAGACGTGATAACCACTACACTATGGAACCCTCACGTCTGATGATCGCGTTTCCAGCTTAGTCATAGTCTCACTTCAGCCCGCATGTTCACGTCAATACCCCGCCCCTCGGCTACTGCCCCGCCCTTGGCCCCGCCCCCGCCCCCGCCCCGGCCGGGCGTCGCCCCTCGCAGCGGCGCGGAGTGCGCTAGCAAATCCGGCCTCCGGCTCGGACGTTTTGGGAGGCTGGCCCTTCCGACCTACTAGGACTCCCGACTTCTGTGACCCCCGCGAGGCCGGCGCCACTGCCCTCTTAATCACGCGTCTCCACACTTTCCCTCAACTGGGGCGGCGGCCTGGCGGGCAGGAGCGCACCCCGCCTCGGCACGGCTGTTTCGCTCAGCTTGTGAGGAACGCGCACTTTGTCATTTTCCGCACGGGCCTGGCCCACCCGCCTGACTTGTCCCGTCTGAAGCACAGGAGCGCCCCTCGCAGCCAAAGACTGAGGCAGCGCGAGGCTGAGGGGTGACCCCGGAGGGCATTTTTTACGTTGGCATCTGTTTTGCCCAGGTCGGAAGAGACCGGCCACTGGTTAGCCTGCCTCTTGCTGCCCCGTGACCGGTCCCCGGCGTTCTTCCCCTCCCGAGGCCGCCAGGGCATCTAGGTCTCAGGGCTTGGGGTGAGTCCCGTTTGTCTAGGGCTGGGGGTCGGCGCCAGCAGCAGAACTTGAGGGGCCCGGTGCATAATGCACGTTCCGCAGGCCTTGTTCGTTAAGTTACTTCGGATCTCAAGCGCTCAGCGCTGGGCTTTAACCCCGGCCCTGAGCGACTGCACCTGCCGCGAGCCTCCAGCACCGTGGTCTGGGGAAGAGGCAGGGCCCCTCCGTGGGCTGGCTTCTTACGTCCTCCGGGGCTTGTGTGGATGGAGCTTCCTTGCCACCCCGGGATTGCTTTCCGTCCTCAAGCTGGGAAACCCACCTGAAACCGTTTGCAGGGGCCTCTTCAAGCGCCCGTGTGCCACCTGGCCGGCAGGCTTCGTCCTCGGAGGCAGGGTGAGGGCGCAGTGGTACGGACTGGACGCAAGCACCGCCCTCAGGCAGCTCCTTCTCCCCGGAGGAAACAGGTGGGTGCCAGGAGCACTGCTGTGGGGGTCATCTGGCTGGTAGTTCCGTCTGGGCTACTCTGGAGCCGCTCAGTTTACCTCCCAAGTCGCAGTCTCTTCCTTTGCGAATCGCAAGGGCTGCCCTCGCTTCCACTTCTGGGTCTAAGAGATAACCCCACTTTCCAGGTGGGACAACTGAGGCCGATATCTGCCATGTAATTCCCCGGCCCTCCAGTTTGCTTTGTGGCCACTTCCTGTCTGCCTTACAGCTAGGGAGGCCTCTGAGCACTGGTGCCTGGACGGTGAACCATCAGCGATCAGCCTCAGCTGGAAGAGAAATTCACTAAAGTCCCATGTTTCCTGCTAGTCCGTGAGCCGAAATGACTCCTGAAAGGCCAAGAACACTACATCCCACCTGTTTCCAAAAGCTGATCAGTCCGTGACAAGGCTGCCAAGATTGGCCCTAACATTACACCCACCAGTGGTGTGGAGGTTTGTGTCTCTGGGGAATGCTTTGCTGTCCCGCCAGCTGTCTGTCTGCCCTTGGCTGGACAGGAGCGTTTGCCAAGTGCAAGCTTCGGCCGAGCTCCCACTCTGACACTCCCAGTAGAAAGCAAGCTGGTGCCCACGGATGTATGCGACTCGGGTTTCTGCCTTTAGCGACAAGTTCTTGTTCCGCTTTTCCACCATGAGCTGCAAGCAGACTTGGGTTCCCTCTCCTTGCCCCTCTCAAGGTGTAGTCCCACGTGTCTTTTTAGGAAAGATCAGTAGGGGTTATACACCACTTTCACGTGCAGGCCTGGGCATCAGCCTTGGGCGGAAGCCATGCTAACTAGCACTGTTGTTCAGCTGAAGAAGTTGAAACCGAAGAGTGTGAATGTCTTGCTTGTGATCATTAGCTGGTAAGTAGCAGGGCTGGGCTCATACTCACCTTCTGAGACCAAAGTGATTATGGAAGACTCAAGCCCACAAAGGCTACGTGTGGTCCCCATGGCAGTGGCACTGGTCCCTTGGCATATTCTGTAGACATGCCAGTGAGGAAATGAAGTGAAATCTTCAAAAGGAGAAACCGAGAGCCTGCCGGAAAGAAGCTGTCGATGACTTTCACTTTGAAACCATCAGAGTCGGGCAAGCCTGAGATGGCCACGATTTTGCCTGGCATGTCACCACAAGCATCTGGGAAACCATGAGAAAAATACAGAAACAAACCAGTAAGCAAAGATGAGAAGGCGCCGAGTTCTCCGATTCCTCAGATGTGTAGCGTTTGGCTTCGCTGACGAAGGGTCCCTTGACCAAAGAAACCACAGCCGCGAACACTGAGCCGCGAAAGCTTAGCTCACCTGATTCCATTTAGTGACCGTGGCCTGTCCGTCAGTGAGCATTGAGCATTCACTAAGAAAAGTGAGCCATTGCCTTAGCATGGCGGAACTCGCCTTACCCATGTATTGCTTTTGGCCACCCACTTCTTCATGGTGCCTTGTTATTCCTCTTTTCACCCAGCTCAAATTCTGTGGTCATAAACACACGCACACCCACACACACACACAAGTTAGAACCAGCACTCCCATCCATTGATTCACACACACACACACACACACCCCAAATACAGGCAACAGCCAAGCTTGGGCCAGCGCTGAAGCTGGGAGCGGGGAACTCGGTCCAGGTCTCCCGTGGGGGTGGCAGGAATCTGATTGAGCCATCACTGTCGAACTTCTAGGGTCTGCACTAACGGGAAGCTGGAGTCAGGAACCAAACCCAGGTACTGCAATACCGGACGCGAGTATCTTAACCACTAGCTAAATGTCGCCCCGCTGTGGTCATTTGTTTGCCCCTTATTGCCTCCTTTCAAAAGAAGGGTCTTCAAAAAGTTTGTGACAAAGGCACTAGTCAGCTTTGCCTTACTACAGCTAAAAGAACCCGACAGGAGCTCACTTCCAAAGGAAGAGTTCTTTTCCCTCACAGTTTGGGAGTGTCACTGGCCCCATTGGTGTGGTGGGGGTGGCAGGCTGTTGGCAGAGGAAGGAACACGTGGTGAACCAGGAAGCAGAGAGAGGCGGCTAGGCCCAGCTCGGCTTTCATAACCAGCCCTCTTGTGAGAACTGTCTTCTGAGGGCGTCTCCCACTGACCTAGAGACTAGATGCCATCATTAGATCAAGTCCCCATCCTGAGTGCATGAACCATTAACATCAATTGATTGACGATTAACATAAGACTCTGAGGACCAAGTCCTCAATACATGGGGCTTTGAGGGACACCCAGTTATCAAAACCATAATACATACTATGAGGAAACTACACATGAATTTCCAATGTTTTTGCATTAAAATACACTCATTCCATTTCTCTACAGCCTTTTTGAAGTACCCTTGCACTTGGCAAAACCACAATCTGTTAGATCCATCTCTCTCCCCCACTCCATCCCTGAATATGGCCCAAGAAAAACATAAATGCAGGTGGAGTGGTTTCACATTAAATTCGTGACTGCTCACCTCAGGTGGGCCTTCCGTGCAGCCCAGATTCATGTCCACTTCTCGGGGACAGCTTCATGTCTTCTCTCCTTAAACCCCCTGTACCTCCTCCCCGAGTGTCCGTTACAGCTGCTCAGCTTGCTTCCCGTTTCAGTGAGAAAGTGGAAGCAGTCAGCAGAGAACGCCTACGAGTGCCCATCACGTGTGCCCAGCAGCCGGTGGACTGGGGCCCGGTGACTGTCGCGGGGCTTGGCCTGTGTATTGTAGGATGTTCGGTAGCTTCCCTGGCCTCTTCTCACCAGACGCCTAGAGCAACCATTCCCCTCATCAAGCACCACCCGGTCAGGAAAACCCAAAATGTACCCTGGGAGGCACTGTCTTTGGAGCCATTTGTTTGTTATGACTGGGAGGGGGGGTGCTACTGGCATCTAGTACGTAAGGGCCAAAGATGCTGCTAAACATCTGAGCATGCACAGACAGCCCCACCACAAGGAATCACCCGCATGTCCGCAGTGGCACAGTTAAGACTCCTGCTAGCTGGCTCATCTGTGTTCTTTGGAAAGCCAGCCTCTGCCCTGCGCACTGGATCCCTCCTGCTCTGCCTGCTCTAGGCACTCCAGCCAACAGTTGCCCCTCTTGCTTCTGCCTCATTTGGCCCCTCTCTCTGATCACTGTCGTCAGCATACACACACTCGAATTTCCGTCGGTGTTCAGAAAGATAATCTCTTAATCCTATTTCCGACTCTAGCTCCTTACATTTCTCTCTTCTCCTTTATAGCAAAATTCGATTTGCTTTCGGTGATCGCTCCAAGTCCACTGCCCACGTTGGCGCCAGCTCCCACTGCTTCTCTGAAATTCCTTGGATCCAGGTTACCAGGGACTTCCCCAGGGCTGCAGGGAACAGTTCTTCATCTTGTTTGCTGAACAGCATTTGAAATAGTTGGCCACTCCCTCATCCTTGAGGCATTTTCCTCTGTTGGCCCTCTGGTCATGTAGGTTTCCGTTTCCTGCCACAGGCTTACTCCTTTTCTATCACCTTTGTTACACCCTCCTCTCTTTGACCTGTAAACACAAGGCCATGGCAGCTCAGGTCTGTCCTTGGGCTTCTGTGTTCGTCCTCTCCATCCTGGTGGCTTCATTCACTCTGATGGCTTTGAATACCATCTATAACCTAGGCAATTCCAAATGTGTAGTCCAGACTTTTCTCCCAGACTCTAAACCTACATATTCACCATCTCCATTTAGACGTCTAATAGGCATCTCACGCTTGTTATGTCTGCGCCTAAACTCCTAACCCCTGAAATCTGCTCCTCACTCAGTCTCTTCACTCAGATAATGGCAGCTTCATCTTTCCGATTAATTTAGGCCTGCAGTTTAGATCGCACTTGATTCTTCTCACACCCCAAATGTAATCTTGCTTAGCTTCCTTCCTTCTCCCTGCGACCACTCTAATCCAAGCTACCATCACATTTTGCCTTGACCATTGGCAATAACCTCATATCCCGATCTCCCTGCTTCTGCCATTGTCTCCCTATGGACTGTTCTCCACACAGTAGTCAGGGTGCTCCTTTAACAACCTCGGATCGTGTTATTCCTCTGTTCAAAACCCTTCAGAGGCCCCTCACCTTGAATGGAAGTCAGAGTCGGGGAAGTTGTTTGGGATGCTAGGTTCGCCTTCTGTCCCTGCTCCTGGTTCTAGCTTCCTGCGGATGCTGACTCTGGGAGTTGCTTCTAAGGCCTTAGCTGATGAGATGTGGTTAGTGTTTGCCTTTTCTTCTACTCAACTCTGGCTACATTTTGACCTGTTTGCTCTCCTCCAAGCACAGAAGCCTCTCCTGCCTCAGGGCCTTTGGATCTTCTGTTCTTTGAGCCTTGAACACTCTTTGCTAGGATCACCCCATTGCTTGTTTTCTCACCTTGATCAGGTATTTGCCTAGATATCTTCTCAGTGAGACCTTTCTATTTGGAATTGCTGTTACTGACTAAATATTCCTTATCTGAAACGCTTGAGGTCAGAAGTGTTTTAGGTTTTTATGTTCAGATTTTGGAATATTTGGATGTACATACTGAGGTATCTTGGGGATGGGACCCAAGTCTATGCACAAAAGTCATTTATGTCGCATATATACCTGGTGTTCATAGGCTAACTTTATACAAGTAGTTAGGTAATTGTATACAAAATGGTTCATTCACCTGCATTTTGACTGTGACTTGTCAAATGAGGTCAGGTGTGCAGTTTTCGACTTGTGACGTTATGTCGGCACTCATTGGATTTTGAAGCACTTCAGATTCTGGATTTTCAGAATAAGTATGCTCCATGTATATCCCTTCCCATGCAGCCTAGAAACTTGGGCCCTCCCCTTTCCTGCTTCTCTTTCTCCACAGCATTTACATTTTCTAAAGATTTATTTATTTATTTGAAAGTCAGAGTTACATAGAGAGGGAGGAGAGGCAGAGAGAGAGAGGTCTTCCATCCACTGGTTCACTCCCCAACCGGCCACAACGGCTGGAGCTGTGCCGATCCGAATCCAGGAGCCAGGAGCTTCATCTGGGTCTCTCACATAGGCGCAGGGGCCCAAGGACTTTGGCCATCTTCTACTGCTTTCCCAGGCCACAGCAGAGATCTGGATCGGAAGTGGGGTTGCCAGGTCTCAAACTGGCACCTATATGGGATGCCGGCACTGTAGGCAGTGGCCTAACCCACTATGCCACAGTGCCACATAGCATTTAAATTTCAAGACAATATTCGTTTTTGTTGTCTGTCCCCACCATCCTTGACTAGAAGGAAAGTTCCAGGAGGGCATAGATTTGGTTTCATTTGCTACCAGATTCCCAGAGCCTAAATAGTTCCTAGCACACAGTAAGTGCTGTGCAAGTACGTCAATATGTCTTCAAAGAGTTTGTCGGTAATCGGAATGACTCAAATCAGGTCAATCAGTACCAATTATAGTTCATCCTGAGGCTTTTGCTTGAATTCCTCAAAAGAAACATTTCATTGTTCATCCTGATCTTGAACTTGAGGTGATCCAGAAGCTGGAAGTTTTGCTGCCATCTCACTATTGCTTTGTGTGACAGCACTTAGTTGCCTACAACAGAATCTTCAAGTTCAAAATAGCCATTTCTCTTCCTCCTGGAGAATCTGTACACCATTGATAGACCTGACCAAGTGACTTGCTTTGGCCAGTTGAATGTAGGCAGAAATGATATTTCTGACTTCCAAGCAGAAGGGCCAGTGTGGCTCGCTACTTCTGGTTTGCCCCTTCGCTACGAGAGCAGCAGTGCCCCAGAGACAGTAAAGACTACGTGTTACCCGGCTGCAGCCCACACACACTGGCCATGGACAGGGAATGAAAAACAGAGCTTTAGTATCGTAAGCCACTAAGATTTGGGGATTTTTGTTACCAAGGCCTAACAGCACCCAAACTGTTTCAGTAGCCGCACTAGTTTGTTAACGGCTCTGAGGTGATTTACAGGATCTCCAAGAAGGCTGTGGTGAGTTCAAAGGCAGGAACGATGTCCAGATCTCTGCGAGGGACTGCAGCAACATGGACTCCCACTGCGGCCTCCTGGGACTATAGATTTAGCACCTCCAACCAGTGATGGCGCAGAGTCCCTACCACTGCCGTGTCTGAAAACTAGAAGCCTATGCCACTCACCTTGTCAGGAGATGGCTTTGGGGACCCCTCTGCTTCTGGTGGTGCCCCTGTGAAGGCTGGGGCAGAGGTCACGTGCCTGTTCTCTTGCTATGAGCGTGGTTAGAAAAGCACATTTCTTGTTTCTACTTTAGGGAGGTAAGAGTCCATCGTGAGGCATTACCAAAATCCTGGGAAGAGCTTCAACAGTTAGTGGGGACCACAAAGCTGAAGACAGCTTGAGGCCCGAGGATGGAGCCAACTCCAAGGGATTGCAGCTGACGAATAGAGCAGCTGAGTGGTACCATTTACGTCCTTACCAAGGCAGGCCGGAAGTGCGCCCACTGACTCTCCGTCATTTGAGGACTGCATTCCCAGTTTGCTTCAGCCAGGAATGGATTTACTGACACTTGCAGCAGAAGAAGCTGAATGGTGCGTGTCTATGACGGACGGGCATAGGCACGGTGGCTGATCTCGGTGCCCTGGCTCGGATGCTTGGAAGTTTGGGTTGTTCTCAGTTCCCAGTAAATGATGGTCATGGCAACAGCTACTTCTGGGAGGTTAGGGTTCGCGTCTCCCTGTCTTCTAGGGAGCCAACTGTTCTCTGAGGCAGCAGGGCACTTGCTCACGTGTGGCACAGTACCCAGCATAGGTAAAGGTTATAATGCAGGCAGCATATCTGTGGCAGACACCGCTGATTGCTTATCCAATACCCGTTCTTCTTTTCCTCAATAGCAGAAACTTCTATAGTACTTGCTATGTATTCGGGACTATGCTAAGCTCTTGACTCCTACTAACCCATTTTATCCTCACAATCACCCTGTGAGAAAGGTACTATTGTTTTGCTTAGTCTGCAGGTGAGAAAAATAAGGTATAGAGCAATTAGGTAACTTGACTAAGTCACACAGCTAAAAAATAAAGGAGGAAGGCTTTAAGCCTAGGCCCTCTGGCTTCATAGGGTGTGTTTAACTTCTGCATTGTATGGCCTGATTTTGCTTGGTTTGGCAATGTGGCCAGCTAAAACAGCTTGATTCCCCAGGCACCCTTACAGCTCGGAGAGGCTGAGTGACACAGTTCTGCCACAGGTATGCAAGTAGATGGTCTTTAAAACCTTTTCTTTCTTTCTTTTTTTTTTTTTTTAAGATTTATTTATTTATTTGAAAGAGTTACAGACAGAGAGGGAGAGAGAGAGAGAGCTTCCCTCTACTGGTTCACTCCTTAGATGGCTGCAACGGCCAGGGCTGGGCCAGGCCAAAGCCAGGAGCCAGGAGTTTCTTCAGGGTCTCCCATGTGGGTGGCAGGGACCATCTTCTGCTGTTTTTCTCAGGCACATTAGCAGAGAGCTGGATTGGAAGTGGAGCAGCCAGGACGGGAACCGGTGCCCATATGGGATGCTGGCATCGCAGGCGGCATATTTACTGGCTATGCCACAATGCTGGCCCTAAAAGCATTTCTTTGGTTGGCGCCGCAGCTCACTGGGCTAATCCTCCGCCTTGCGGTGCCAG